GACTTGGTTACTTTTTTTTTTGCTACCTGAAACTTTTTCATGCCACGCTACTTCCAAGCGCAGCCTCCTGAGCTGCTGGGTTAATGTTTGACGGTGGGGCTGGGCGGAGGCAGGGGGGCTCTGCTTGTCGAGCCCTCCTCTCACTACGCTGCCGCCGGTGTAACTGTGATGGTAAGTCAGGATTTAAGCTTAAGATTGCTCAAACGCTTCGTTGGGTTGGGACAACTGCTGGCTTGGCTGTGCAAGGAGAGGAAAGTCATTCTCCTTACCTACTCTCCATGTTTATTGCCCATGGTTTTTTGTCTGGATTTGTTTTGTTATGCTCTTAAATGCTGCTGGTGGCTGCAAATTCCTAAGCAGTGAAGACCCATAAGATGCAAACTCCTCCAAATTGATGCAGTCTGAGTAAATTTTTAAAAAATATACATTACTGTGATACTGGCTTTTGCTGGGGTCGCAGCCCTGGAGGTTAGTTTATGCGCTGATGTGACCGTTGTCATTCCAGCTTGTGGCTGAGAGCTTGGCAACATGGGCATGCAGGATGACCGTGTTCTTCCTTCATCATCTGCACCATATTCCTGTGCTTCAGGTCTCTGCCTTGGGCTGGAGCTTGATCTACCGCAGTGTTACAACATTGTGTTATTCTTACAAATCAGTATTTAAATTTATTTATCTAAGCCAAGCTGTGCTAGGTGCTATATCTGGGACCCGAGTTGTTGAAAACTGCCTGCATAGCAGCGAAGCAGCAAATACTGATGTTGTCTTCTTGGGCACGGCACCACCACCACCTCTAAAGCTCCTCCTGCCACTCATCAGTGCAGCAACCGGTCCCTGCCGGCACGACCCTCACTGTAAGCCAGTGTGAGACCGCCGAGGTGACATCCTCTCCCTGCTGAGGTTGCCAGGGACATTGACACCGGCTGCAGATGGACGTAGGATTTCTCCCCTCTCCTTTCTCCTCTCCACCTCCCCCCAGCACAGGCCTCAAAGGAGAGAGGTTCAGCTGGGTATATAATTACCTTTTTCATTCAGCTGTGGTTTACCATCTCCCCGTACAGGGTTCCTTGCTCTAAGTGTGTTTTAATACTCATAGTTAATAGAAGGAGTAGAAATACACACTGGTTATCAGCAGGTCAATTTTAAATCGCCTTTTCCCTCTCTTCTGCATCGTTCAGGCAGAACTGTTAGCAAAGCCTAACACCGAGGCTTTAAGCTTCCTAAAAAGACATGCAATTAATTACGTAGCTTGTTATGACAGCACATAAATGTTATAAATACAAATGACTGCATACACTGCAAACGTCTGCCTCCGACCAAATCCGTGCGACAGCTCCATCGCACACCCTCCGTGCTAACTCCTGGGGTGCTATAATCACCTCCCAAAGACAGACGGCGATCCCGTCATTGCTAGATACGCCCAGCAATTTAAGAAGGTTCATCACGGGTCAACACAGACCAGATTAGCCATAAGAGGCTGATAGATTTATTTTTTCTTCTTTTTTTTTCCAGATTTGAAGGGAATTTACGTTGTTATCTAGTCTAAATTTTCTAAATAACACAGGTCATAGGACTTGAATGAAGCCCTCCTAAAAATTCAATGCCTGTTATTAATTAATGTGGATGGTTTTGTTTCTCTGCGCTGTAGCAAAGATTTGTAATTTATGCAAAAATTGTAAAATTTGGGTACAACTCCCTGCACCTGCACGTTTTCACTAGCGATACGTTATTAGCATGTCACGTTTATGAAAAGTATCCATAGTGTGGCCAGGACAGTCTGGTTTTGCGTGCGCTGGGGCTTGTCTCATCATTTTTGCTGCAGCAGAGTGTGGCCTTAGGGCAGCGGTGCCTCTCCTTCTCCATTGTAATTGCAGAAATAGTTGTCGTTGTTTCCAGCTGTACCTAACTCGCATCAGGGGAACTGGTGTGTTGTGCATGTGGGAGTGGAGGAACAGTACTGTCGGGGTTAGGAAAAGAGGTTGGAAGGAGGATGTTGGGATGCCGGTGGTCCTGTTCCTGTGGGATGCTCCTACTTCAGAGCAGCGGTGCCTCTCCTTCTCCATTGTAATTGCAGAAATAGTTGTCGTTGTTTCCAGCTGTACCTAACTCGCATCAGGGGAACTGGTGTGTTGTGCATGTGGGAGTGGAGGAACAGTACTGTCGGGGTTAGGAAAAGAGGTTGGAAGGAGGATGTTGGGATGCCGGTGGTCCTGTTCCTGTGGGATGCTCCTACTTCAGAGTACGGCTTCTGGTCCTGCTGCCAGCAGGCTCGCTGGTGGGAGCCGTGCGTTGGGTCTCCCGCCAGCAGGAAGCAAGAACTTTGGTCCTTGGGAATGTCACTGAGGCAACAAAACATTGGGGCCGGCCATGTTCTGGTGTGTGGGGACATCACCTGCATGGGTTCATATATGTGTTCTGGTACAAGAGGACATGGCAGAAGAGTGGCGAAACAGCATGATACGGTGGTGAAAAACTGGAACGGGTTGCCCAGAGAGGTGGTTGATGCCCCGTCCCTGGGAACATTCAAGGCCAGGTTGGACAGGGCTCTGAGCAACCTGGTCTGGGTGGAGATGTCCCTGCTCACTGCAGGGGGGTTGGGCTAGAGGACCTCTAAAGATCTATTCCAACCCAAAGCATTCTATGATTGTGTGATATTTCCCACTCTTGTTCTTGGCCCGGGTGCGAGGCAATGTAGGAGAAAATGTATGAAAAACCAAAGTTCATAAAGCAATGCTATTTTTGTCATGCTTTATTGATTTCTAATTCATTGTGTGGCTATTCTGAAAGCCACAGTCCCACAGATTCCCAAGTAGCATATTGGCATTCACGCAAGTGGCCCCTCTGGTTTTGGATGGGCTCCCTCTGTGAGTGAGGGATGCAGAGATCAGCTGAAAGCTCTCCCTCTCGCTCTGCGGAACGCAGCCATCGGTGGGTCAAACCGCAGCTCGCGGCCACCCCACTCCATCCAGAAGCTGGCTAACAGCTGCCTACCAGGAGTCACCTGCGGTGCTCCAACAGTCCCCATCTCAGCCTCGTGAGCATCTTTCGTCCTGTTGCATTTTGCTGTGTGTTACCTTAACAGAGACAGATAATATTGGGTTTAATTCCTATATTTAGATAGCAGGTAGAGTTGATTTCTGCACTGCATAAAGATATACTTTTCTTCGCAAAGAGCTGTACGTTGAGCTGTGGTGAATACTTTTACACAGGGAAATGTCTGCCACAGCATAGAGTATTTTAAATATTTGCAAGAATTGTAATAGGTGATGGTTTTAACTCAAATGAAGCTACTGCTAATCAGGAGACAGAGCTTATGCAGAACTTAGTCTTGCAAACAAAAAATATTGTTATACAGCCACTTAGCATAATTGGTACATAAGAATAGGATCTAGCAAAGCATTAAAGTGAATGTTTGACATTTAAGCATCTGGTTAGAGTTAGTGGGGCTATCATTTTACCTTTCTGTCAGAAAACCCCTGCCATGTTAAAGTTTAATTTCTCAGGTTTAGAGCCCATGAGCTTTGCATAAAAATAAGGTTTGGTTTTATATTGTATGAAAATGTGCTCAGTCACAGTCAGATTTTTTTTTTTTTTATTCTTTCCCTCATTTGCTCTCCAACGTGGGTGTCTGAGGCTGACACATTGTCTCGGCAAATTAAGTCAAGCTGGGAGCAAGGGTACAGTGTTACGGCAGAGCAGCAAATAAGATTTACATTTTCAAGCAAGAGTAGTAATTAGGCCACCGCATATTTTATATCTTCATGTTTATTTTCATAGCGGTGCGTCAAAATAAGCATAGAAGTAAGAAGACATAAGCACTCCAACAAGCAGTTGGGGTTCATCAAGTAAAAAATACAAATTACTCTTCGGTTTTCCTGCCACCCACAGAGTTTACATCTTTAAAAAACCAGCAGGCAGGTGCTCTGGCCAGAGATAATTGGGTCTGTAGTTAGGGACACACTGGGTTTCCGTCATACAAATTATTAAGGGGAATAGGCCTAATTTTAGAGTGATACTTGATGTCGTGTTGTGGAGTTGACTTGAGCACGGGAGGTATCTGGTGCTTTGGGAAGTAAAATGAAGTTTTGAGCCGGTTATGCTGGTGCAGATGGTTATAACCACTTGACTGAAGGGTTCCAGAGCAATGTCGGGGGGGGATAAGCAGAAGAGCTTTGAATTCAGGGTCCCAGGTCCCCATGACAAGACAGTGAAGATCTGAACGCTCCCCAAAGTACATTCTTGCTGCCTGTAACACCATCGTGCATAATGTAAAAGATGGGGTCTTGCTTTCAACGGCTTTGAAAATCAGAGTGCTCCAGTGCTGCTGTGGGAAGGGGATGGTCTAGAGGGTCCCAACCTCTAAACCCTCGTGACCCCAAAAGCATCCTCCCTGCGTGTGCAGTATCTGTAAGCTGCTGTGTGTTAGGCGAAGCTGCTCCTCTCCCTTGCTGCGTGGAGCGGGTGGCTTGGGCAGCAGCCATCATGCTTACCTATATTTCTGTGCAAGGTCTTGCAACGTTTGCCTGCATGCAAGGCTGCTTTTCCAGCAGAAGTACTGTGACCACAAAATCAGCTGACTGGAAAACTGCAATTATATGCTAATTTAAGGCTTTCAGCCATTAAATGCTTGTAGTATTTCCCCTGTTTTGATAGCTTTCTTTACAATGAGAGTCATAGTGTAAATCGAGCTAGATTTAAGAGAACAGAAGCCAAGTGAGTTAGATTTAAGAGAAAAGAAGTCCCTGGAGTTAACTCTGTCTTCTTTTTCTGCCCTGTTCTTTGCTTCACCCTCCCAAAGATGCAATCCTTCCCTAATACCTGCTAGAGTACTTCATATCCAGATACACACAGTTAGTAAGGTAAGAGAAAACAATCCAGAACGTAACCCTTCGGCTTTCTTCCCCGCAGATCTGATGGCACGCAAGCCTTGCTGCGGCTCTCAGGAGTAGAAAACGGGTCGGGTATTCCCTTCTACCCTCTTTTGAATTGCATCAATTCTGATCATGAGCCAGAAAGAAGAAGAAATGGAGGATAGCCCTCCGCCACTCTGCGTCACCTGCGGCCAAGCGCATTTACCGGAAGAAAACCACTTGTACAGCTACACCGAAGAAGTAGATGATGACCTGATGTGCCACATTTGCCTGCAACCCTTGCTCCAGCCGTTAGACACGCTCTGTGGTCACACCTTCTGCGCAGCCTGCCTTACCAACTTCCTGGTGGAAAAAGACTTCTGCCCCATGGACCGCAAGCTTGTGATCCTCCAGACGTGCAGGAAGTCCAGCATACTGGTGAATAACCTCCTGGACAAGCTAATGGTTAGCTGCCCTTTCACAGAACACTGCTCGGAGGTCATGCAACGCGGTCACCTCGAACAGCATTTCCAAACCCAGTAAGTTGTTGTTGACAGACCTTACTTTCGCTCTTTTTGCTTAAGGAGAGGAAGAAATATCTACAATTAATGCTGATTAAAACAGACAGTGAATGTAAAGAAAGATTTATTGATTTCACTCCCTACGAACACCTACACTATCATGAATTTAGAGCTGAATTTCGTGCATTTATTTGATGATATCTCATTCTCTTTTTTTAGAATCAGATGGAGTCAGGGTACTTCATGCTATCATTAGGAGTTCTGGGCAGATACCTTGTGGTTAGCTGCATAATGGAAGCGTGTATTTAGTCATGCGAAGAGATCTGTGAGTTTTGAGAAGCTGAGCGGTCGTAAATATTGTAGTAGTACACTAATGGTTTTTATAATTGCCCTTTCTTCAATTCTTTTTTGAATCGCAAATGACCTATATGAGAAGTAGAGCAGAAAATATTCTGGTTTGGTATCGGTCTTTGGAGCCAAGCGCTCCTTTCTTCCAGGTGAGCACTTACCCGTGCACGACGCAGTGGGGCTGGCAGAGCTCTGGTCTCTCCTATCCTGGGGCCAGGACATCCTCGCTGCCTGCCTCTGGGAGAGATGACTCCAGGGAGCAGGCTGGTTCCTCTGCAAGGAGAGGACGGATGAGGAATGATCCTTTGTTTTTCAGGGTAAAAGTACCTGCTGCTGCTTTTGTCTTGCATCTTCTGCCTTTTGAAATGAAAGCAGAAGAGCAAAGAGATACCTTCAGGGCTATGATTTCTGACTGCTTGCATAGTCCGGTAATCAGTCAAGAAGGCCAATGGTCTCCTGGAATGCATTAAGAGGAGTGTGGCCAGCAGGTCGAGGGAGGTTCTCCTCCCCCTCTGCTCTGCCCTGGTCAGGCCCCAGCTGGATTCCGGTGTCCAGTTCTGGGCCCCCCAGTTCAAGAAATACGAGGAGCTACTGCAGAGAGTCCAGCGGAGGGCTACGAGGGTGGTAAGGGGACTGGAGCATCTCTCCTACAAGGAAAGGCTGAGGGAGCTGGGCTTGTTCAGCCTAGAGAAGAGAAGGCTGCGAGGGGACCTTAGAAATGCCTCTAAATATCTGCAGGGTGGGTGTCAGGAGGATGGGGACAGACTCTTTCCAGTGGTGCCCAGCGACAAGACAAGGGGCAACGGGCACAAACTGAAGCAGAGGAAGTTCCGTCTAAACACGAGGAAGAACTTCTTCCCTCTGAGGGTGACGGAGCCCTGGCCCAGGCTGCCCAGGGAGGCTGTGGAGTCTCCTTCTCTGGAGATATTCAAGACCTTCCTGGACGCGGTGCTGTGCAGCCTGCTCTGGGTGACCCTGCTTGGGCAGGGGGTTGGACTGAATGACCCACAGAGGTCCCTGCCAACCCCTACCAGTCTGTGATTCTGTGTAACAGCACCTTGGATTTGAGGAGAGGTGGGGTCTGAGAGATGCCCTTTTTGTGGCCTGCGCTTTTTGCCCAGTGAGATGACTTCTCTTGTAGTTTTCAAGTGTGAGTTGTGTTCCCAGCTGCATTGCAGAGGAAGCCCTGGGTGACCAGATGTTGCTGGGGGCACCTTGTTGCACAGGCATGCTAATGCCAAGGGTCAGAGCATCCCTGGTTAGCAGGTTGCTGAGCCAGAGCACGGAGATGTGTTCACGCTGCTGCAGGCTTCTGGATCTTGAAGCCCGTAGCTGGAAACAGCTCTGCAGCTTGCTGTTTAAACACGTCCCCGTTTGAATCGGAGATGACATTTCGTAAAGCACCTGGCTTCTTGTGATGAATTTATTCAAGATATGCACTGAAGTTGTCGTGGTTTAACCAACCAAAAAACAATTGACTGTTTTGTGTTACTAAAACTGAAAAAAATCCATTAGAAATATACTTGTCACATGCTGGAGGCTCGGTGTTTGGGGGTTTGGTCACCCCTGGCCCACCCGGTTCTGGACTTGCCTTTCCCTGTTGAGGATGCTGCCGTCCCATGGCCCAAGAGGTGGTGGCAGCAGCCTCCAGCCCAGGCCAGCAGTGCTCTGCAAACTTAGCTTTCTGCAGCTAAGGGGAAAAATTAGCAAAGCTGCTTAGAATTTTCTGCCTTTGGTCAGTACTTCTCTGACAGGCTTCAAATACACGTTTCCGTAATCACGCAGGTGAAGAGCCTGACAGTCTGGTCTGCACCGCTGTCGCTGGGATTACTTTTCTCTACAGATCCCACCCCAAAAATCTTGAGCTCCTAGTACAAATACTCTTTCCCTTTGCTACATGTACAGCTGATTTTAATGCATTTTAGATTCTCCTTTTCGTCTTCGTGTTTTTGAGATGATGGAGCTGTGGTTGTAAAACTAGCAGGAAAAAAACCCCACACAATAAACAAGCAAATTGGATTTTTTTTGCACAGAAGCCACACAACTAGCACAATTCCTGGGGGGACTTCCACAACCTTGTGCTTGCAGATGCTGTGCAGTACCTTTATTTTTTTTTTTTTAAGCACACCATTAATTAATTATCGCCAAAGGTATCTAATGCCTCTGCCTGATTTAATTCTCAGAAATGCAGAAGCCTCTCTCGCCATCCCACCTCCAGCTCATAGCAGGGCAGGAGAGGAGAAGGACGTTGTGCTCCGGCACGCCCAGGCAGGGACTGAGCAGACTGAGCCAATGCCGTTCTCTTTAACTCCGGTGAATCAATAGAGGGGAGAGAAAGTGTGTGAATTTTCTGATAAAAAAAAATAAAATAATAATCATAAACAATCCGGCGAGAACGGCTCAGAGCCCATCTGAAGTCTCGACTGAACGTGATCTGTGTTCTCAGTGAATAAATTAACGTAGACTCCGCTGGAGTCACCAGGGCAGGCAGCAGTGCTCGCATTTCTTGCACGATTCGGGCTCGGACCGATCCTGGTTCTCGGAGGGAAAACGAAAGCTTGCCCTGATCAGAGACGAGGTTACTGATGGGACAAGGTGAGTTTGCTGGTTTATGCTTTGTAATTGATGAGAGAACTTTATTATTTTTTTTAATGCCGGTTACCATGGAGTAGTCCACTGAAAGCATCCTTATTTAAAATGTTTGCTTTCGCATCCTTCAGAAGAAATGAAAAACAACAACCCTGAGAGGAGGCACGTCCTTGGATTAGTACGTGATTTATGCTCGCACAGAAACATCTGACTGGATTTGGGGAATTCAGACCGAGACGCAAACAGCCAGCAGTTGGCTGCGATCTTTCGCAGCGTTTTACTTTAAAAAGGTGTGGTCTTTGGCTATCGCCTGCTTCAAAACTCCACGGGGGACATTTCCCCCCCCCCTCCTTGTCAAACAGCTACACCCTTCCGTGATGCGCTTTAGCCCGTAACCCATCTGCTTGTGGGCAGGGATCGACCAGCTGGCTCTGAAGAACCGCTCCGAACGCTGCGGGAGGCAGGTCTCTTCCCCGAGCATCGCTCTCCTCTGCAGCATCACTCACTGTCTCGCCAACCCCGCTGTGCTGTCCCTAAACCCTCACATCTACCCACCCGAGAGTCAGATCGAGTAATCCTCTTACAGGTCGATGATTTTTCTGCAGTGTAGCTTCGTTTAAGGGATTTAAGCTCGATTCGTTATGTGCCACCACCGCGTTGAACTGGAAAGGCTTGCTTAGAAGGGGCTTGGCTGGCACAAAAGCTTCGTGGTGTGTGTCCCACCAGCACGGAGAGACAGTTGGAAGGAGGAAACCTAGCAGCAGTGCCGGCCCTGCACTGGAAATGAAGGCTCTCCTGCTACTGGTCCTACCTTGGCTAAGTCCTGCAAACTACATAGACAATGTGGGCAACCTGCACTTCTTGTACTCCGAGCTGTGAGTACGCACGGTCGCGCCGGCGTCGTGCTCGCTGTCTGTCTGTCTCGCCCGAGCGGAGGGAAGGGGCTCACCACCAGCATGTTGGGGGGTCGGTCAGTCAGTCTGTCTGTCTGTGGGTCTGTCCATGCGCGTGAGGAAAATCCCGCAACGTCTTGCCAGCAGCTTCAAACCACGCCGCTCCCCATCCGGAGGGCTAAGAATAGCAGAACGTCCCCATTGCGTTCTGCTTCGGAAGCAGCTGAGACACGAGTGAAGCTTTTTCCTCATCAGCTTGCTTTTCTGTGCCGACATTTTCGGTGGTTGTTGGGTTTGGGGTTGGTTTTTTCTTTTCCCATTTCTGAATCTCTGTCTTTTCTTTACTTTCCATAAATAGCTTTGCCGGGGAGCTGGGCACGGAGGAGGGCATCAGGGTAGACACCCCCGGCAGAGCGCTTTCTGCGTGTACATGCATAATGTTCTGTGTGTAAAGCTGCATGCCCGCAGCAAAATGCTGAGAAGCTTTTCACCAGAAATAATTCACTGGAGACAGGAAAGGAATTTCCCATATTTTTATTTTTGCCCGCAGAGGAATGTTATTTTCTCTATAACGCAAATTTAAATGTAGCAATACAGACATATATCATCATGTCTTAAAAAAAAACCCCACCTCAAACAACCCCACAGCTGATCTTTCCAACCCACAAAACAAATAATCTATGGTATTATCTGTAAATGATACTCGTTTCATTTGTACTTGAATGTTATTGTACTAGTTAATAGGGCTTTTATGAACAGAAATGGATGTTTTTTCCAGTGTGTTTTAATTAATTATGTTTTGTTTGTGTTTTAACAAATGATAAGCTCCAAGATCTTCCTTGAGATAATGAATGAAATGGCTAATTCTGCTCAAAAATGAAAAATGACTGTATTGTGCCTACAGTGGGCATGTTTTTGTAACAGTTGTGATTGGTACCAGCGAGACTAATTTCCAAATGATTTTATCTCTACAGTCAGACAAAAATAGCAGTGTTTTGCAGAAACACAAAGTCCCCTTTTGAAATCCTGATGTGATATGCATGGCAACTGTTAATAATTTAGTCACTCTGCGTACAACTTCTCAGGATTTCTGTATGCGATAGGTGTTTTTGAACATTTAACAAATCTGGCGTTGAGGGTGGCAGCTATGCCCTCATTTTAATTTGCTGGTGTTTTGTTTAGGAACGT